TTTTTTGGTTGCAGCCGTCATTGTTGTTTGGCAGGCCCAGGCTGGATTCAAACCCGCCACCTTGGGTGTATGTGGCTGGCTCCTTAGCCACTTGAGCCACAGGTGCCGAGACCGTTTTTAAAATTTTAAGTGCAAGTTCTCAAATCAGTCACTTCCACTGATTCAGAATGTCTGGACTGGACAGAGAAGGTAAACGTCACCAAGCATCACAGTGGTGAGATATGCAGGTGGTTGGTCCTCAGTCACACTTGAGAAATGTGAATCCCATAGTCTCTAAGGCCACTAAGAGTAAAACCAGAGGATGTTAACTCAGAGCAGGCACAGAGGAATTCTGCATGTAGCTGAGTGTGCAGGGCATAACAGACTCTCAGCAAGTTTAGTATTTAAGGAGAGGAGGGAAGGAGGGGAGAGAGGAAGAGAGCAAGTAAGGAAAACAGGAGGGGCAGAGGAGGGAGCAGGGAGAGGCGAGCTGGCATATTTCTGGCTAAGAAGAAACACAGGCAAAGACACTCAAATTAAACTTAGGTAGCTTATACAACATACTTCAACAGCTGGAAAGCAAACAGCTCAGGATCTACACAAACACAATTTTAAGTGTAACATGAACCTCGTCACACTCTTCTCAAGTCCACCTGCAACACTAAGGAGCAGCAGGACAAAATCAGTCGATAGAAGCCAAAAGGATTTTACCGGAAAATTACTGGAGGAACTACTGGAGGTAGATAGAAAGACAGAATTTTAAGGACAGCGACTTGGAAGTAGGACTAAGTTTGAAGCTAACTGGTTACTCATATATGCAAATTTTATTTGGGGCAATGTATGACAATATTAACTTCTGTCCATTTTTCATCTACACTTCCCATTCACTTACATTATAATTTTTGAGGTGTTTTATCTTCACTTCTGATGATCTTCAAATGTCAATGGCTCTTAACACATTAACTGTAAACAAACATAAAGGAGCTTAGGGGAATTCAGACATTTAAGGAGCCCTAGGGTATTTTAAATTACCCTGTAAAGCCTGTGGGGAAGGAGGGACTGAGAGATCGTGGCATTAAGTTTACTTATTTTTCTGATCTTCCAAATGTAAAACTGTTCTTCTGAACGAAAATGATACTACAGTCTTAATCACTGGGCAAAGAAAAAAAAAAGTCATCCAATTTTCTATCAAAAGGGAAAAAAAAAAAACATTCAAAGCTAGAGAAAATTCTTGCCAAATATGGACTTTCTCAATTTACCCAAGGCTTCTAGACTTGGGTCAAGGAAACTATGTCCTCATCACTACCACCCATCAACTGCCCTGGGACTGCCCTGGAAGCTTTGGCCTCCAGTTTGAGTGCCAGATCTCCAGGTATGACCATTTCTTTAAAGCACATAGACCCTGAAGTAAAAAAGAATTGAATTCTAATGTTAACTGCTCTCTCTAATGATCAGTTTTCTTATCTGCAAAATGGGAACGTTAATACTGACTACTTTACACAGGAATGAAGTTTATATGAGAAAATGCAAAGAACATCACAATCCCCACATAAGGTAAGCACACAATAAATGTTAAGAGCTATTATTTATGTTATTATTGTTGTATTTAATAGTAATAATATTATTACTACAACTATCTCTCAGTTGGGGAGTAAAGCTTATCTCCTGTGTTTCTATTCTGAAGTCCTGCCTTTGGTTATATGAAAACAGTGGTTTTCAACCACTGTGCCGCAACACTCTGATGTGTGAGAGGATCTTAGATGTGCCGTGAAAACTTTTAAAGATTATTAATTAAATAATTTTCAAAAGAAGTTCAAAGCACAGTAAGCATGTTCTTTTTTATTGATCAACATAATTTAAGTGTGCTTCAGAAGTTAAACCATAGGTCCAAGTGTGCTATGAGATAACAAAGGTTAAAAATCACTGGACTAGAGGGATGTTATCCAATATCAGTAACAGAAGACATCTGCACCATGTAAAATTTTATTTTGGTCCTTTCATGGGCATCTTGGCTTAGGTCAAGAAAACTAAGGTTGGCCAGGCATGGTGGTTCATGTCTATAATCCTAGGATTTGGGGAGGCTGAGGCAAGAGGATCACTTGAGGCCAGAAGTTCAAGTCCAGCCCGAACACCATAGTAAGACCCTGATTTTACAGAAAATTTAAAAAAAATTACTTGGGTGTGGTGCCTGCCTGTAGGCCCAGCTATTGGGGG